TATCACTACAGAAGTAGATTGCCCAACCTTCTTTCCAAGGAGTGGCTGGTGGGTTGGAACTGCCAGCCTTCTGGTTAGCAGTCAAGTGCCTTAGGCACTATGCTACCAGAGCTCCTAGATATATATGGTAGACTGAAATTGTGTTAAAAATGCAAAGCCATGACTAGTGTTTTCCCTGGAAGCTAACTAGTGATAGTGATTTATCTTTTAGCGCCCTGTCTTCTTGGCATTGTACAGTTTTTTTCTGGGAAAGCTGTGTCATTTTTTACTGAATTTGGTCTTACCTACCTGACTATCCTTTTGTCTCCTGTTGCTTATTTCTTTTTGTTGCTAACTTCCCCTTCTTCCTATTAAATAACTTGTAGTCCCATTGTCTGTGAGGTTAAACAGGAGTTGTTGGGTCTTAATGTTTCTTTGGCTAGGGTTCTTCACTCACTCATTAAATGATTACTGAAACTGCTTTTTTTCTGATCAGACTTCCCTTTTATTTTATTTTTACTGTCAACATTATCATTCTTCCACGTTCAGAGGGCATCTTGAGGTTTCCTCCTCCCTGTTAAGGTACTCTAGGCCCGGCAGTTGTAGCTCCTCCCCGTGCTAAGCTGGTGCTTGATCTTTCTCCTGCATCTCAGTTGGGCCCTCTGTTGTGAGCCTCCAGGAACTTTTCTTAATTTGTTTGAGAATACAGATGTGCCAGAAGTAAAGAAAAACAGCAGGAGGGTACGTATTTTCTCTAGAATGGCTTTCCACCTTAGAAAACAAGTGCATTTGTGTTTTCCATTCCAAATAAACGCTGTGATTTCAAAAACCCCGTGTGAATCAGCTGCCACTAATCAACTGCACTTTTTCTCTTGGAAAATCATTTTATACATTTGATTTAGAAGGGAAGTATGATCAACTATGACTAATGTATTACAAAAAAAAAGAAAACTGTCTTCATTACCTATTGTTTTGGTTGTAAATTCCAAAAATTAAGCCTTTTTTCCCCAAAGAAGATTGGTACCTAATTGCTGGACTAAATGTCTCTACAAGATAAGATTTAAATCTATAACGAGAAGAATTAATATTCCTAATTATGCCTTATGAATCAAGTAACAAATTCTGCATGACAAAATTTTCTTTCGTGAGGGTGTATTCTGCTTTATTATTGATTAATTTTTTCTATGTTATAGGGAATGACTCTGCATAAAAAGGCTGCTGAAGATAGACTTGCTAGTACAGGTTCAGGGCAGTCATTTCTGGCTAGGCAAAGACAAGCAACCAGCACAAGAAGATCTTACCCTGGCCATGTTCAGCCAGCCACAGCAAGGTAGAGAACTCTTCTCACTAGATAGAAAAAGCAACCTGCATCAAAGCATACTTCTGTTACATGTAACATTTCAGGAAATTCAGCCAGCTTATTTTTTGTCTCCATTCTTTGTTAGTATTTGGCTGTTTATCACTTGAGGACTTTTTCTCTCTCCTGTATCTATAATGTTTTAGTTCCTTTGTTCTTTATTTTGTAGTCCTTTCAGTTCCTTTTAATGTGCCAAAATTTTTTAAATGCCCGATTATAAGTGTTATACAATAGTGATACTTTTCTTTGTATGAAAATATCCTCTTCCCTAATGAAGTAGGCTTTGTAATGAATTAAATTTTCTGCCAATAATTGATATACAATTTATATTGTTTATTGTGCCTCGGTGTTACCATGCTTTATAAGAATGTCTTTGTTTAAAGGGAATTAATCTTTTTATGATGTATTAATCTGTGTTTTAAATTGTTTTCCAGACGCACTTCAAGTAACTTGCATAATTACTGTATAAAATGGTTGGCAAAGTGTACTTTTTGCAAAGACATAAATACATTGGCAGATACGCTAACAGATCCTATCTAAGGCACCTGATAGAATTATTTAAAGGGGGAAAATTGCGTTCTCATATTGTTTTATAGAAATTAAATTTGTCCAAAGATTTGGAGACTTTTTAAAACATAAATTCATAAAATTTCATTATTTCCTGCTATATTGTTTGCTGACAGAAGTGAATGCATTGGTGACGTTATTTGGAGGAGATTATAGAAGAAAAAAATCAGGTCATGCATTAATTTTTTTTTTTTGGCTTTGGAATATTATAGTAACTTAGGATCAGTTTCTAGTAATGTGTCTGACATTTATCGTACCTTTTTCCCACCGCATCTGAAAGATTTATTTTTCATATATCTACAGGTAATAGGGTAGCCTTACCTTTTGGGCCATCTCCTTGTTGACTTGCGCTTCACTTGTTTTACTTATTTTATGATCAAAACCTTTTCATTTCTAAACAATTACTAATATTTAATATCGTAATGTCAGTCACTAAAATAAATAAGTGACTTCTTATATGTGATGTTTTATGACAGGTCTGTTACATTTTTTCTTAATTCTTTAGTCCTGGAATTTGTTACTGAATAGCTTCTCTTGGGTAATTTGTTGCCTCAAAAGTGCTTATATTTGTTGACAGATTGTAAACCATATATTTATACATATACATTGGTGAATGGCTGTCAATTAATGATTGTAAAGCACTTTGAATATATAAGGTGCTATATAAATGCAAAATATTCGTTTGAAAATGAAATGCCTTCTGCCTAATTTTCCATATTGACTTAACTATTCAGTCCCAAATTATATTAAGTTCCCCTCCAATCATTTTCTTGCCCCATAACCTAATTTGTAAAAGCAAAAAATTCCTAAAAGTATGCTGTGTTTTTTTTTTTGTTTTTTTTTTTAAGTGAGGTCACCTAGTAAGAGGATTTTATTTCATATACTTGCTGTTTGGAATTTCAGGTTTAATTTAGTTCTGTATATTAAATGCAAATAAGTAACTTTAAACCAAGCTAAATGTGATAAAGAATTTTCAAAAACTATATCCAAACATTTTATTTTAAATTCTTATTTTTTTATTAAGAACAGTTGACCAGTATTGGTTATGTTTTCATTGTTCTTCAAAAACCATATTTGAGAAAAGTATTAGAATATACACAGAACTGAATCCAGGCATTGTGCTAATTTTTTTTTACATTAAGTACAAAAGTGTGAACACAATATGAACACTTCTGCCTGATAAAACTGTAAAGCAGAAAGAATTAGTAACATAGAGCCATGTGAGTAGAATGCATTGTGGGGTTCAGGAGGCCAAACAAACCTAATCAATGTGAAGTTTTGATGGGAGAAGATTAAAAACTATTTAATGTGTTTCTTACCCCTCTATTTCACAAATAACATACAACTTTGATTGTTTTAAAATAAATGAGGTCCTGAACACTAAACTTGATCAATTAAAATTAATTGGGAAATTATGCCCATAGATCAAGATGAATGAAAATGAATGAGTCTGTGAACTATGTGTTAAATAGATTATATTCCATGGACAAAAGGTTTGAATTTTATTTTTTACTACCCCTGCCCTGGTTTCTTACCTACCCAGATACATTTGTCGTAACGGGTTGGGAAGGTGCCAAGCTTTTAGAAAGAGATTTTACGTTTGATTTTTCTTCAGCATCTGTTGCATGCTGTTATTTTGGTGTTTACATTTACAACTTTCACTCTCCTTTACTGTACCTTTAAAGCTTTGTATATTATTTCATAGACGCAATCATATTTCTAAAAATTATATGATGCTTAAAAAAAGGGACTTTTGAACAAATGGCATCTGAATATACTTTGGGTGTCAGAAACCCAAGAATAAAACTTAAATGTAACGATAACCCTGTTTCCCATGTCCAACTTTGGACGGGATTTATGATATTTCTATTTCTCCAGTTGTTGTTGGATGCCATCGAGTCATAAGAGATCCTGTTGGACAGAGCAGACTGCCCCACGGGGTCTCCTAGGCTGTAATCTTTACAGAAGCAGATCACCAGGTCTTTTGTCCTGCAGAACAGCTGATGGATTCCAATGACTGACCTTTTAATTAGCAGCCGAGCGCTTAACCACTGCACCACCAGGGTTCCAATAATGATTACTTCATTTCTCAGGAGATTTAAGACGATGCATGGACTAAAGACATTAGAGCTTTATGGAGATGTGAGCTATGTCATGCTGTATTTTCGTAAACTCCTCATGTATCTGTGCAGCCACAGTTTGTTTTTCCAGTAGAGCTGGCATGGCATCAGCAGTGGAGTAAGTACAGTATTGCTGCATTAGGTTGGGGTGAGCCATCACCACAGTGTCTAATTCCAAATTAGTTTTCATTCTAATCAGGGTAAGAAAATACAAAGTAGATCAACTAAAGAATATTGAAGCATAGCATTGATGTAGCATAGTGTCTAAGGCACTTGACTGCTAAGCAGAAGGCTGGCGGTTCAAACCCACCAGCCACTCCTCAGAAGGAAGGTTGGGCAATCCTACTTCCGTAGTGATACTGCCTTGGAAACTCAAGGAGGGGTCACTATGAGTCAAATCCAACTTGACGGCACATAACAACAACAACAACATGCATTGATGTTCTGCAGTGTGTATTTACGACCTTTGTAATGAAGGGCAGGAAAAAACAGCAAATATAGTAGTTTACCACATCTAAACGGAGAATAAGTAATATGTTTGTCCATATTTTAAAAGAACATTCTAAAACTTGGTCACATCTTTTACCATTTGTCTAATTACTTGATAATAACCAAGAAAAACAAGTCCCTAAATAAAGGACCTATATTCCAAAATTTATGAAGATTAAATTATTTCTATTAGATATCACCAGCCTAGTAAAATTGGTTTAATGAGATGATTAGATTATAATGAGGACAAAAATTGTAGTCTGTAGTCTGTAATTTTGTTGAGGTTTATTGTTTCATTTACACCATAAAAGCTCAGTTGTACAAAATTAGTTAATGTTAGCCAGTCAGAAATACCAGTCTATAATTTCATTAGTCCTTACAAATGAATGAAAACCCACACTGTGAAAAAACGTCAGCAGTGATCATGATCGTCAAATGAAGGACGAATTAGATCGAAGAAATATTTTATTTACGAGCTGCTTTATCTGCATTTCTTTTCGCTAACAGCTTTATCTTGCTAACTAAATAATGCTGTGAAATATCAGTATCTCAAACAGGCAGTCATCTGTTGTTATGATAACACCAAGTAAAAAAACTTTAAAATCTTTAATATAAGAATTATTTTGAAACAAAATCTAAATTTTTAAAATTCTTTTAACTCTCTGCATTTAATATCCAGTTGCCCAGATTCAGACTCCAGGAATGTCCCAGTTGTCCCCAGTTGGAACATGTCAGAGTTATCTGAGAAAGCATCCACAATCCAAGCTCGTAGAAACCTAGCTAGTTTACAGCCGTGTGGGTAAGAACACATTGATTCTAAAGTGACAGAAAAGTGCTTGACAACATGGTTTTCTCTCAGGACAAAATAACATAAAGACAGAATGCTTTTTGTGTGTATTCATTAAACTACAGAGGAATATTTTTACTTTTTATCCTTATATTATGAAGGAGCTCTTTGCCTGGAAATGGCTGTTGAGCTGATGTAGCATTATACTTCTTAATGGAATGAAACACACTGCCATCAAGTCAGATCCAACTCATAGTGACCCCTTCTCGGGTTTCCGAGGCAGTATCACTACAGAAGTAGATTGCCCAACCTTCCCTCCCAGGAGTGGCTGGTGGGTTTGAACTGCCAGGCTTCTGGTTGTTGTTGTTATTTGCCGTCGAGGCGGCCCGACTCATAGCGAGCCCTCCTTGGGTTTCCGAGTGGCTGGTGGGTTTGAACCGCCAGCCTTCTGGTTAGTAGTCAAGTGCCTTAGGCACTATGCTACCAGAGCTCCCCAGGCTTCTGGTTAGCAGTCAAATACCTTAGGCACTACACCACCAGAGTTCCCTATGTTACATCTTAGAGTAGGGTAAGGGAATGCACTAAACAAAATGGGATATCAGAATCTTTGAAAATTATTTCAGCATGTTTTTTATTTTTTTGTCCTTTTTATAAGTTAAAAGGGTTTTCCATTCAAAAAAGATAATCTTTTTTCCTATAGTGTAGTCCCATCTATCAAAATGGTAGCTTATTTTGTAGTTGATCAACCTAGTTTCATTACATTTAAAGGGAGGTTTCAAAGCTTATTCTTTCTAACTATGATTTGAAAATTTTATATCATGAAAGTTTTTATATGAGGAAGGTTATTCTCAGTGTAACTGTCACCCAATTTTTTTCACTTTCTATAAAACATATTTAAATAATAATTGGTGCATGTTCCTTTTATTGAAGGTGTTATCCAACTTCAGCATGAATATGTTCTGAGGTTTTGCAGTAAACACTACTCAGTTCTCAAAAGCTTAAAAAAACAAATAA